GGGGGGATGTGTTATTTTGTCATTGTATTTACTGACATTAAAATGTTTCATTTCTTTTAGATTAAGTAAGCCTTTTATGGCATGTGCAATACAAATTGATCACGTCGGTGCGGAAAATTAGAGCTGTAACCGCTAACTAGAGAGTAATATAACTACAAAGAAAAGGAGGAGAGATACTGACGACAGAAGTTTGATAGAAAAGAAGGAACATACCAGACCAGAACACCCACCAACCACCCTCTAAACATAATGTTTCCAACTTCGCCCAGGTGACCAAACGTCTGGAAAACCACCCGTGCATCATCACAGTGATGGAGATGGGCTCGGCCCGGCACTTCCTGCGCACCACGCTTGCCGACAAGAGCCAGGATGAGAGGCTCCGACTGCTGCAGCCCACGCTGGAGCTCAACCCAAGGTAACAGCTAGAGTTGGGGCGAGCGGACGGACTCAGTCAGAGCGAACGGGTAACAGACGGCCATGAAAGCGAACTGCGAACCTCAAGACAGTTCGTTTTTTGGGTCCGCTCCACAATTTGACTCACTCAGCGAGCGGACCTCAAGCCTCAAGTCAGTTCGTTTTTTGGGTCCGCTCCACAATTTTATTCACTGGGCGGGCGGGCAAACGGACAAACTCTAGCAGACGAGATACTCGACGCGAGGTTAGGCCCCGGTCTATTGTTTGTTAATTAGGCGTAATGTTTCAAGCCACTAGCCGAGCGATGCCTCAAGGAGTGAGAGAGGCTGGTGACGTAGTACTATGTGTGTAACCTTTCACCTCGTGCGTGGGGCACACTGTGTACGTTCCAATTATCGCAAAGGCTGGGGGTGGAGGGGGAGATTTCCGCCATGAACGCCTAGCTACAATGTGAGGCAGGAGGGTGATTTTTTAATTAATTTTTTTGGGTAGCGGTGGGTTGTAAGTTGTAGACAATGGAAGGAGTCGCTCCCGTCCGTCCGCTCGAATGAATGGAGTCTCTCGGTCCGCCCGTCCGCTCGCTCGCTAAACGAACTGTTGTCTCTGTCCGATGTGTAGCAAGTAGCGAACTATTCTTCACAAGCGGACGGTTCGTTACCCGTCCACTCGTTTGCGGGTAGTGCCAGCGAGTAGTTCGTTACTCGCGGACGCTGATTTTGCGAGCCCGACCCAACCCTAGTAACAGCAGATTTCTAGTGCCTTTTCGTCCTCTTCTTCTTCTTCTCCTTTTTCTTCTTCTTCTCCTTTTTCTTCTTCTTCTCCTTTTTCTTCTTCTTCTCTTTCTTCTTCTTCT